TATATATATATATATATATATATATATATATATATATATGTATGAATATGAATATGTATATATATATATGTATATATATATATATATATATATGCATATATATATATATATATATATATATATATATATATATATATATATATATATATATATATATATATATATATATATATATATATATATATATATATATATATATGTATATATATATATATATATATGCATATATATATATATATGCATAAATATATATATATATATATGTATATATGTATATATATGAATATATATATACAGGGGTCGAAATAAGTGCCGGACATCGCCGCCCCTCAGATCATTTTTGAGACCTGCTAGACGAGGACAACAAACCATTGTTCATTTTTTCAGTAAAAATGAACAATGGTTGGTTGCCCTCATATAGCAGGTCTCAAAAATGGTCTGAGGGGCAGCGATGTCCGGCACTTATTTCGACCCCTGTATATATATGTATATATATGAATATGAATATGTATATATATATACACATATATATGTATATATATATATATATAATATGAATATATATATATATAATATGAATATATATATATATATATATATATATATATATATATATATATATATATATATATATATATATATATATATATATATTTATATATATATATATATATATATATATATATATATATATATATATATATATATATATATATATATATATATATATATATATATATATATATATATATATATATATATATATATATATATATATATATATATATATATATATATATATATATATATATTAATATTTTGTTTTATAAAATTTCGCTTCGTTTGAGATGCTTTTGAATAAATTTTTTTCTATAGTATTAGGGACCTGTCTGATGTTTAAGGATCAAAATGCTGCACTTCCTGTAAAGCATTTTTATTTTTTACAACTGCTTCTGGTTTCATATATGGAATGGCAAATAAGTTTATTTTCACCCCAGCCTAATATACATACATTTAAAATTAAGATTTTAATTTTTTTCAGGTTGCTCTGGACTTTTTTTTTGCTCAGAGCCCTTTTTATGCATTTCACCTTTTTTTTTTTCTTTGTGTTCTATGTTTTTGATTCAATGCTCTCATTTTTGTTTGTTTACTTTCGAGTGAATTTTATTCATTTGTATGTTCAGTTTTTTGTTGTCTTTATTTCATATAGTCAAGCCAATAGTTTGATTTGTTTAATTAATTTTAAATTATTGTTAACATAGTTGGAGACATTTCTACTAGCTATAGAAAAACTATAAAGTAAAACAAACGTTTATCAATAATTTAAGAGAAACAGTTTGATAATTTTTCTTTATTACCTAATAGTTCTCATTGTTTAAAATTTTGAATTTCTATCAAATACTGAAAATTCAAAATAACATGTTGAATTCTTTTGCAACGCATCCATATATTTAGGGTTGTTAATGGGTTGAATCTAGACCCTGACCCTAAATTTTTGGAATAGGATCTGGTTTCATTATTATAGACCTAAAACCCACCAGATCCATTAGACCCATTAACCAAACATGCTGGGTATGCATTCCCAACCCATTTGTTTAGAAGTTTTAACAGCTCTGAGTCTGGTGGGTTTAGGTCTATAATAACCAAATCTAGAATGGGTTGAAAAGGGTTGGTTTGGGTCTGAGTCTGGGTATTAATAACAGGCCTTGTAATCGCGCCATTAAATTGAGAGACTAGAGGATGATTTTTTTGCGGAAATTTGAGAGCGATTAATAATTTTCATCTCGAATGCACTATGCCTCGAAAGTGTTGTGTTACTTGTGTTGTGTTACATGCTTGTCTAACTATGACAAAAATAATGAAAAATACGTATCTGTTTATCGTTTACCTAAAGAGAAAGATGAACGTTTGCGTTCATCTTTGTCTTTAGGTAAACGATAAACAGGTGTATCTTTAATTTCTTTAGGTGTATCTTTAATTTCCAAAATATTTCACAGTTTAGAAGACAAACAGCGCTCATGCATTATCATGGTTGATGAAGTATACGTTAAAGCAAACTGTCACATTTCACGGTGGAAAAGTCTATGGTCATGCTCAGGATAACCCAAAGAAGCTTGCCAGAACACTCCTTGCTGTAATGGTTAAATGCTTATTTTCAGGACCTACATTTATTGTTAGTATGGTACCAGTGTCTAATTTAGATTCCCATTTCCAATACAGTGTTGTTGCTAATGTAATTGAAGCTATTGAACAATCCAGTGGAAAAGTTATTTCTGTAATTTGCGATAACAATCAAGTAAATAGACTCTTTTTGATACCACTCCCAATAAGCCTTGGAGAACTAAAACAAATATATATTTTGTTATATGATTATGTCCATTTATGAAAGAATATACGTAACAATTGGCTAACTGAAAAAACTAAAGAGATTAAATTTCGATTTGGTCAAGGTGAGGAGTTAGTTGCTGATTGGAAAGATCTAGAGAAACTGAGATACATTATCTCGTCTAAATGAGGTAGCCATATCTCTAAAGCCTGTAGAAAGACAAAATGTGAAACTAGTAATGCGTGTTTTTTGTGAAGAAACCTTGACAGCTTTGAAAACAAACCCAGTTATAAATCAACAGCAAGTTAAAGGTACTGTTGCTTTCCTGCAAATTTTTATTGATGCATGGAAAATTATAAATGTACAAAGAATGTCTGACAATGTAAGATTGCAAGATCTTTTGCAAGCTGTCATTCAAGTTGCTATGGACAATCGGCTACAACATTTATCAAAAATAGCAGAAATGTGCAAAAATATTGGTGCAAAAAATGGTAAAAATAGAATAAAAACTTTAACTGTGACAACAGCAGATGCAATATCTCACACATTAAGTGGCTTAATAGACTTATCTAGCTTTTTTACTTGAAAATAGTCAAGATTATCAATTTATTATGCTTGGTGATTTTTCATCAGATCCTGTAGAGAAAGCCTTTGGTAAATTAAGACAGGATGCTGGTGGTGCCTACTTTATTTCTGCTCAGCAAGTTGTTGAGAAAATTCATATTCACCATGCTTTATTACTACTAAAATTTAACGCAGACTTTTATGACTGCTCAGAGCATCATTCTTGTGATGGATGTCTTCGACAGCTAACTAACATTCTTGTGATGGATGTCTTCGACAGCTAACTAACATTCTTGTGATGGATGTCTTCGACAGCTAACTAACATTCTTGTGATGGATGTCTTCGACAGCTAACTGAAGAAGAGAGTGAGATTTTTGATATACTGAATGATTTAGAAGAGTCTATGAAACAAGACAGCAAAATGGAGTGTGTTTTTATTGCTGGATACATTGTTCACAAATTCGAAATGGATAATGTTAAAGATACTTTTATTTATTATGAAATGTATTGCAGTTACTTAAAAGAACTAAATAGGGGAGGTTTAAAACTTCCTGGTTATATTATGTTTCAGTGGGTGATTTTCTGTTACATTTTATTTATGAAACTAGATTTTTCTGTTATGGTTTGTCGAAAATCAGTATCTGAATATTTTATTTTAATTAATCAAATTTATTTTTATCATGCTCTTCCAAAAATAAACATTTGTAGTAGAATCTTATCTAATATACTTTTAAATAACTATTCAAAACTAGCTACTCCGCGTTCTAATAAAGAATCTGCACAAAAAGTATTAAAGCTGCAATTAGAATGAATAAAAAAAAATTGTTTTTTTAATTGAGAATAAAATTAATGTTATATTTATTTTGTTTGTTTTTTTCTCGAAAAAAAGTGTTTTTAATCAGCCGCGATTGCAAGGCCTGTTATTAAGATAGCCTTGGTCTAGACCTTACTTGTTAAAAGTTAATATTATTTTGACATTCTAAATAATTAACTTATAACATAGTACACAACAATATTATGGAATAGTTATCGTTGTTTGGTAAAACTATTAAATTTTGCTTTTATATTTTTCACATAATATTGCATAATAATCAGTTAGTTTTTTTTTCAGCGCATGCTGAATTAAATTTTTTAATTTAAAAAAGAAACACTTTTAAACTTAAAGTTTGCCATCCGTCTTTAAATTAAATCATGTGTGAGGTTTTTAAAGAATAACTAAACTAAATCAACATATTTGACATTTTTTTACCAAAAATATATACTTTGTTTAGTATTAATTTTGTAAAGTGTGACTTGCACAAGAAGGCAGGTGCTTGCTTTGCAGGTGTAGAGGGCAGGTGCTTGCTTTAGCCTGCTATTTCTGTCAAAGCCTATATATATTTATTTTTTGAATGATAATTTTCCTGCCCATAGCCATGAAGACCACTACAGTTGAGGAGGCTACTTTAATTGTAGTTACAACCCTCTCCCAACTCTACAACACCAAAACACGAACCTTGGCGAACAAGGCCGCTGCACAGAGCATTTTTTACTATTTTTAAGATTTAATTTATTTGTTTTAATTGTTTTTCACTCAAAAAGTTTAATGTTTTGAAATCAAGTAAAAATGGTAACATAAAAAATAATAATTACTTGACTATATGAACTTCAACTCAGAACGATAGTTTACTCTGAAATCTTTTTTTCTAATCTTTGTTTGTTTGTGGTAACTTTAGCTCAATTATTGTTTTTCTTTTATTCCTTATTAGTTCAAATTTCATGAAAAGTAAAATATAAAAATTGCTATCTATTTTTTTTTCTTTAACATATTGGCGGTAGATGTTTCAGCTTGCTGTAAAGAAAAAAAACTCTGAATAAATATTTTAATTCATTTTCATTAAGAACAAAAATTAGTTTGTTTAAAAATAATAGTCTGTTAAATTTTAAAAGCCAGAAATAAAAAACCATAAAAACTGCAAATGTTTAAACATTTGATCAATTAATATAAAAATATATTTAATAAGTTATCAGGTGTTTAAAAAAACTATTCTTTTGTATTTAATACCTTCTACCTAAGTTATCAGGTTTTTAAAAAAGATATATATTTTTGTATTCAATTTGTATGCATAGGCACTTCTACCTGCTGCTAGTTTGTTACAACTGACCGATGTTCTTGCTGCATGTTGTGACTTTTTAAAAGCCAAGTTACATCCAACGAATTGTCTTGGTGTAATGCGTTTTGCAGATGTTCACAATTGTAAAGAACTTGTTAGTGCAGCTCATTTATATACTGAACAGTTTTTTTCTGAAGTTGCGACTAGTGAAGAATTTTTACAGTTAGAAAACCATCAATTAATAGATTTTATATCAAGTGATCGTCTTAAAGTTTCTTCAGAAGAAAATGTAATTTTATTAATTCTTTTATTTTACATATTTCTATATTTTATCTTTTATTTTACATATATATTATATTTCAACAACAAGTAAAGGAACAACTTAATATAGTTAAACTGTTTTCGTTATATTACTGTGTTTAAAGCAAAGATTTTTTTCTAGTTTGTGGGTGTGAAGTGAGGGGGAGGGGTTTATAAGCAAGTTAGTGTTTTTTTTATTTTTATATTTTATAAATGAATTACTATTTTCTAATTTTTAAGACTTTGGTCTTAAAAATTAAAAAATATAACAGTTTCTTTGTTCTTAACCAATAAAAAATAAATAGGTTTTTTTTTATAAGCTCAGAGTGGGTGGGAAAATTTTTCAAAAATTAATAGACGTCCACTCCCATGTATTAAGCACGTAAGAGTGCCTTCTTTATTTTTCTTAGGTTTTTTATAATTCTTGTTTTAATAGTATTAAATTTAAGTAAATTTGATGTGTTTTTTATTTGTTTAAGAAAAGACCACTCTCTAGTTATTTGTAACGAAACTATTCAGGACATCTAAAAAAAATTATGATAGATCAGCATTTTGGTAATTAAACTTGCCACAGTAAAATTGTGATAAAGGTTTAAATTTGCGATGTTATGCTCATTGTTAAGTTTGTTTATTGGATTCATTTCCCTCAAAATATGTATGTGTACATATTTTCAGCTTTCCCTTGCACACAAAGCAGAAAAAAAATCTTAAATCATATTTTAAAAGGACAGATTTTTGTTGTTTCAAGGCAAAGTTAAAAACTTGACTGAAATAGATAATGAAAATTTGGGAATGTTCATAACTGATTAAATTTTTTGAGTTGTGTAATTTGCAAAAATTTGAGACATAAGGTTGCATTTTATAAAAAAAATTAAATGTTTTTACACAGTTGCCCTTTTCTGTATAAGTGTACCTACTTTGTTGACATTTATTTCAGCTTAAGTTGTTTGTTTTTTAGTTTGCCTTTTAGTTTATGTAAGCTTTATTTTTTTAATTTTATTTTTTGTTTTCTAAAATCTTTTTCATACCTAGTTGCTGCTTTAAGTCTAATTTTTAAAATAATTTTTAAACAATCAGCTTTTACATTTTACTGATTGTCAGTGTTTTTAGTATTTTTTACTTTTAAATAGATCCATTCAATTCCAAAATTTTTGATTTGAAACAAGTATTTGTGCAGATCAAGAAGACTATTAATGTTTTCAGCTCAGGGAACATTTTTTTGATATAACTGCAATAAATCACAACTTGTATGTGAAAAAAACTGTGACATGTGAAAAATAGATTTTAATAATAGCTAAGTTTTTGAATATATAATCTTCTTGTAATGCTGTGTCACTATTTCTATTTAAACACACTTCATCAGCTGACATATGTCAAAAAATTATATTTAGTTATGGTAGCTTTTTTGGGTGTCAAAATAATGTTCCTATTCTCTTGGCTTTCTCTACTATTATTTATTAATTTTTCCATTTTGATGTGTCATAATATAATAATTGTTTTTGTTTAGTTTATATTATATTATTAAAATAATGTTTGGTTAATATTAGTTAGTCAACAATTTGTTTATTTTATTATGTGATATTCAAGTGTTTATTTTTGTTAATTGTATATTTTTTTTCTTTTTCACTTCAATTTTGTTTATTCATTTTGAACTCTTTATACATTTGCTATTTTTGTGTGCTGTGTTTTTGTTATGTTTTTGCTTAAATCTTTTGTTGACGTTTTATAATTATCATAATATAATTTGTATTATTGTATTAAGATACTTTAATTATAATTAATATAATATATTTATTTTTTTATAAAAGTTTACAATTTTGCCATAATAATTTATAAAGTATTGAACATTAGTTGTTAACTTAAAATAAAGATTTTAAGATTTTTATTTTCTACTCTTTACTAAATATTATTGAAATAAAGCAACTATATAAAGAATAAGTATAGAAATGGTTGGTGTGGATTAGAATTATTATTTGTTCCCGCTGAGGCCTGGGTTGGTGTGGATTAGAATTATTATTTGTTCCCGCCGAGGTCTGGGTTGGTGTGGATTAGAATTATTATTTGTTCTCGCCGAGGCCTGGGTTGGTGTGGATTAGAATTATTATTAACTGTATTATATGGATCATGATCAGTCTATTATTCCACATATTTTTATTTCTAGGTCATATATATTATTTCTAGGTCCACACATTTTTAAATATTTTATACTATTTAATTAATCAGCACATTTCAAGCGGGTGTTCTAAATATTATTTAGTCAGGTACTTATATCTGAACTGTTAATAAATAGCAGTTCTCGCAACAACTACTGAAGCATTTAAAATAAAAAAAATAAAAAATGTTCAAGCATAATGTCAAGTTTTTTCAAACAAATTTTTATGTTGAAATTCGCATTATGTTGGCTTTATTTTGAAGAATATTTTTGATGTTGTTGTTTTTATTGCAGGTCTTTGAATCAGTTATTGCTTGGATAAGTTATAATCCTTCACAGAGGGATCAGTTTTTACCGGATCTCATGCAGCATGTAAGATTACCTTTATTAGCACGAGACTATTTGGTTGACAGAGTTGCTGCAGAGCCTCTGATTAAAAAAAGTTTTGCTTGTAAAGATTTTCTTATAGAGGCAATGAAGTATCATTTACTACCAAGGCCACAAAGATTATTTTTGCAAACACCAAGGACACGAAGTCGAATACCTGGAATACCTAAAATTTTGTATGTTGTTGGAGGTCAAGCACCCAAAGCAATTCCCAGGTTTATTATTTTTTGATAATTTTACACTTTTATTTTGTTACAATATTATATCTTATACAAAAATAATATGGGATAAATAATATGAGATGGGAATCAAACGCTTCTTTTAATGTTTGGGTCTGGTTCAATTTGGTTATATTTAATGTTTGAATTCGGTTCTGTTTTGGTCTTAAGCACAGTTTGAGTTCGATTCAGTAACAACTAAAGTTCGGTTTGGTATCAACACAATGTTTTTTATTAGTTTTATTAGTTACATTCACAATTTTTTTACTAAATTATTGAATGAGATATTCGTTTGGCGCGAACTGTATATACATATATATCTTTAGATATCATAGATGAGTTTTTTTTGGAAATTTCCGGAATTCCGGAAATTCACTTTTAATTTTCCAGAAATTTCCGGATGTTTTTTGTTATTAATTTGAAAAAAAAGTTTATATATTTTTGCATAAAATTTTATGGATGGTTGACTCGCATATAATTGCGCATATAAAAATGAATAACTCTGTAAAACTATCAATTTTTAATTCAATAATTTTCCGGGATTTCCCGCAATTTTCATAGAAAAAAATTTCCGGGATTTTCAAAAAGTCAAATGCTCATCTATGATATCTAAAGTTCAAGTACGATTTGGTTCGGTCTTAAGCACAGTTTGGTTCGGTAGCAACTAAAGTTCAGGTTAGGTTTGTTTTGATATCAACGTAATTGTTTTTTTATTAGTTTTATAAGTTACACTCACATTGATAAAACACAATTAAATTAATATTAAGTAGTTAAAGGATTGCAAATTGTTTGAAAAAATTTGCATTTCTTTAACAACTGCAGCTTAAAAAGAGCAAAAAACAAAATGTTGTAGTAAAGTGCGCAAAACATAAAAGCAATAACCCTCTGAACATAAATGATGGTAGCTTAAATAGCCTACTGAAAGTCAAGTAATCAGAGCTGCATGTTATCTTTGAGAAATATCAGTATTTTTAATGTTTCTTGGTTTAGGCGAGGCCTGCTATCACTCATCATCACCCCACACTCTGAAAAGACTTTAACTGGCAGTACTTTAACAATTGTAACATCAAAAGTTCAAAAAACAAAACACTGCAGTTAAAGTGCGCAAAACATAAAAGCAGTAACTTTTTTTATATATATAGCCTTTCATGGTAGTCGAAAAGTTTTTTCCATAAACTCTAGTTTTGAAGAGAGCGCTAATAAACCAGACCAAGAAAAGTTTAAAAACTTGAATAATTTTTTTTTTTTTTTATATGATAGACTGTCTTCCCTAACCAAACCCTCAGTCGATGTAGCAGCATTCCATTGCGAGTCAGGCTATAAGATAGTCGATGTAGCAGCACTCCGTTGGGAGTCAGGCTATATGATAGTCCATGTAGCAACACTCTGTTGCAAGTCAGGCTTTAAGTCAGTCAATGTAGCAGCACTCTGTTACGAGTCAGGCTTTAAAATAGTTGATATAGTTACACTCCCTTGTAGCAGCAGGTTATAAGATAGTTGATGTAGCAACATTTTGCGCATGTTTTAAAAATATATTTAATAAAACAAAAACAAAAACACTATAAATTAAAAAAAACTTTTTAAAAAAAGTCATTATTATTGCGGTTTTTTAAATAGCAATAAAATTTAATGTACTTCTGCATCAATTTAATTGCAATGACTTTTCAATGACAATAAAATGTAGCTTAATTCTTAAAGTTGCAAAATTGTTGTCAAAAGAGACTTTTTTAACCATAAAAGTCTCTTTCGAATACGAGATAGGGTTATATATATATATATATATATATATATATATATATATATATATATATATATATATATATATATATATATATATATATATATATATATATATATATATACTAGCTGAGATTGGACCCGTAAAAATATGGTCTTTGTATGTCTATTCAAAACAAAACTTTTCTGTACTTTTTCGTTATATATCCCAGCTTTCCGGATCCGTAAAATACAGGTCTTTATCAAACCTACCATTTCTATACATATCTATTCCACACCAATTATTTATATACCTATGCTATATTTCAATATCTTTTAGTAAAATAATTTATTTTGAAAAAAAACTTCAAGAGCAAAAAACTTAACATGCGCAACATACAATGCATTTCCCCATACATAGAGCTTATAAAAAACTTATAATTAGGTTTGTTTTTCTGCTAAATGCATTTCATTGATAGACCTTTCCTTGATAGATAAAGGTAAATGACCTTTAACTCAGTAGTTAAAGGTCATTTTCTACAAGACAAAATATTCTAGCAAAGCAAATTTTTTTGTCGATAAGCATGCACAGATTAAACATTTCTGCCAATTATGCTGATACAACGTTTTGCTGCAGTAAAAAAAAAAAGTCAGATTTATTTAGACTTTTTGTGAATCGCCTTAATAACCAATCATGTTTTGAATATTATATCATGTAGTGTCAACAGTAATAAAAGCGAATGCGAATTGTTTTTAAAGTGGCAAAAAAAAAAAAAAATTCTTAACCTGGTTTTCTTATTGATTTTCTATGAGCTCACTCTGAACATTTGGAAATTAGTAAATTCATCAAATAAGGAGCAAGACTTAAATTGAGAATTTACAAATGTAAATTTGCACACTGTTAATTCTGAAAGTTACTCATTGTAAGAAGGTTTATCTCCAAGTGGCCACACAAAGATAAACCTTTTTGTGAAAAGCCCTACATGGAATTAAATTTGTTGTTCGTTCTTGCAGTAAAAGTTTTCAACAGAAATGCTCATATTTTCTTTTTCATTCAGCATTTTTTCTTATACTTTCTTATAAAAAACCTTTTATTAAATTATGATATCACATCTTACATAAAAAGCCAGAAATGTTAAAAATAATGCATAGAAAGAAATTTCCACATGCTTCAAAGTAGAAAGTATGCTAAAAAAAGTATTAATTGGTTTTAGTTAAACATACAGTGTAAACTTATTGCTGTCGTTTTTACTGTTGACAACGAAAAAAAGTGGAAATCAAAACGGTATTTTGTCATAGCGAAAAAATTCACTTCGTGTAAATATTTCGTCTTGTAGAAAACGGCCTTCAGTGCGCTGTCATAAATTTTGTTTTAGGGGTTTAAGACCTCCCTTTAGTGTAATAAACTTTGAAATTTTTTCAATCTTGTTTATATATTTATAGCAAAAAAATAATAATATAGCAAAAAAGCATTCTAAAATTTAAAGTAAAGTTTTAGAGTTTTCTCATTTTATAGATATATTTTATAGATATATGCAAATAGTCCATAAAATGCCTGCAAACTCAACATATGCTAAAGGCGTTTACACTTGAAGACGTTTGTACGTAACACTATCAAATGGAACTAAGGAGAATCTTAGACCATTAAAACATAGTCATAAAAAAAAGTTCATTCTTATAATATGGTTAAAAGCTAAAGAAGCAGCCTCAGCTATTAAATGCTAATCTAAAAGTTAAGGCAAAAAAATTTGGCACATTGATGTCAGTTTGTGGCAAAATAAATTTGTATATGTCAATTTTCCTTTTGCATATATCTAACATTTTTTTATTAATTTGAATTACGTTGCGTACAATTGCACAAAAAGATATAAAACTGGTACAGATATATCATTTCATGGATAAGAGTTTTTATTTATTACAACAGTGTTAAATAAATGGTTTTTGTCTTTATTAGAATATATTCCATAAAAAATATTTCATATATTTTAAATAGATGAAGTATTCCTAAAAAAATTAGATGATATCTAATTTCTAGTTTGTTTTTCTAGTTTTTTGCCACAAAGTGACAAAAAACTAGAAAAACTTAGTTAAAACTGAATATTTCGAAATTTATATAAAAATGGGTACAGCTAAAAAAAAGATGATGGGACAGAATAAGAAAAACCGGAAAAATACAGAGGTATATTTATCTATGGAAGTAACTACTGAGGGATTTACCTCAGAGACAGCTTCCATCTAATGGTGAAATTCTAAGATACTATTTATCCTTCGCGAGTCACAGGTTAAATACAAACACACTTCTACTAATGTTGGTTGCATGTTGAAATCGAAATCCAAGTATCTTGTTTGTGAAAATGGTGTTTGTACAGATCCTGATCATTCTTGCTTGGTAACTAGGATTAAAAAAATTTGGGATAATGCTGGGTTTGGCAAGAAATTTGTGATTTCTGGGTACAATATCAAGACCAAAATCATTAAACTTAACTAAAAATACGAAAAATTGATTAAATTGTCTTCTTTAAACTGGAACAGCAGCCTTGATAAACAATCAAAGTTAAAGAAAGATTTTCTCACAGAATCCTATCAGCTTTTTGACATCTCGACTATGAATTTTGAAAAAGATATTCTTGCTGATAGATTGAGAACAGATGATGCCAAGCTGGAAGATATAAACTAAGTTCATTAAATAACACTTTTTTTAGTAGTGAGATTTTCTTTCCAATTTAAAGTAATTTAAGTAATAGCATATTATTTCCTTTAAAATATTTAAGTTTAACTCTTTCCATGGTTTGGTTATCTTCCAAAAAAAAACCAGAACAATTATTAATTTATTTATAAATGTCTTAATAGAATTAAATATTTCTTAGTTTTTATGAAGACCAGAAGTTAAGAAAAGATATATGGGAACAAAAGTCGAATAAGATTACAGTAGGAGAGTACTGGATGCAAGCAGGAGAAAGAACAAGCTAGATAAGTTTAGAGAGAAAGAATTAGAGAGACATAAAAATTTTAAAAATATCAATGATGTTTTGTTGCCACATGACTCCATGACAGAAAAGATTCAATTCAGTAGTGAGAAAGAAAAGACAAACAAGGACTCTGAAATCAGCGAGGAAGAAGATTTCCTGGGTAATGGTCGGAAATGCAGGTATAGTATTATTTTAATAATATAGTTGTTATTAAAATAATATTATGCCTTTAATAATCCAGTGGATTTCAAAAACTAATCATCTTTAAGATGACGGCCGACAGTATATTCTTCATTTTGATACCAAACTTTTGGAACAAATTACCACTGGGCTTAATATTATTCAAAAAATTGAGCAACTTGCAGTCTCAGTGAGTTCCCTGGATGACGATACAATGGAAGAACATCTTTTAGGTGTTGTTGACCAAAAGGGAGTTGACCAAGCAGAACAAGTGCATAATCTTTTAGAATATTATGGATGTAAAGAGCATATCATTGGTATATGCTGTGATACAACAGCAAGCAATACAGGCGGAGTCAATGGAGCAGTCCAAATTCTTACAGTTATTTTGAAATTACCAATGTTGTGGATAATGTGTAGGAAACACATATATGAAGTACATATATCTCACTATATGGCTCTTACTGGTAAAAAAACTAAAGGTCCAAGAAGAGCTCTTTATGTCAAGCTAAAGAACAAGTGGCCTGAAATCTGTAGAAAAGTTAATGAAGTGAATAATTTATGTAAATTGGACTAGCAAAGAAATAATCTGAAGATTGGCTCTGTTCTTCGCACTGTTGCAGAGGAAGCTAAGACATTTTTGACTAATGCAACTACTGATATGGTGTTTTCAAGGAATGATTATGGTATAGTTTGTAAGCTTGCCCCCTTTTTCCTTGGAGCGGAAGTAGAAGATTTTAAGTTCCATCAACCTGGTGCCTGCTATGAGGCAAAGTTTTTAGTAGATGCGATCTACATCCTGACTCTTTATATGACCAAAGATATCAGTGTCAATATCTTGACAGAAAAGAAGTTCTGCAGTTGAAGGGTGCAAGTTTGTTCATTGCAATTTGCTATGTTACATGGTTTTTTAGGTTTTACAAAAGTTTTTTAGGATTTCTGGCTCCCTACAATGATTTGAAAGCTATCCAGACAGCCTATGCATTGAGAAAAGTCAGTAAGAATATTGGAAATGGTTTGCTTCTCAGCATGGAACGTTATACATGGTACTTAACTCTGCAACTCTGTGTTTTGTCTTTTGGGGATAAAGAAGTTCCTTCTGAAACAAAGCTAAGAATGCTGTTAGCTCTGATTGAGTTTGAAGAGCAAAATGAATTTCAGTGTTGTAAACCATCAAATGTACAAATTGGAGAGACCACAGAGCTACCTGAGTTGATTTCCGAACAAAGCTTTCCAGAAGATATCTGTGTTCCAACTGAAAATAGTTATTCTATTGTTTAACAGGGTGATTTTTTTAGATACTACAGAATTTTATGAAATCTGCTGATGCTCGCTTTTTTGGTTCTGCATCTTTAATTGAATTTTCATTGTATGTATCAAATATAACATATGGGGTCTGCATAAACGCTTAGATTCAAAATTAAATCTAACAAAGTTAAAGCTGTAGTTTGACCTTGCTGTAAATAGCCATACCATCAACCAAACTAATGTAGTGGAAAAGTTTTTTAGACCAAGGTTCTGTTATTTTTCTAGTTCATGCAGAATGAAAACTTTTGATGTTTTTCTTAGGCGGCTCCTGTAATGACATTTGAAGGGGTCCTAATAAATAGCTAAATACATTTCTTAAATCCAGTTTTTGCTATTCCATGATTAAGCAAATACTTGAGAAGTTGAATTAGTTCAACCGCCAATTTTCATTTTCTCCATACAGTGTTGGACAAAACATTTGCAACCAACATCAAACAATGCTAAAAAGTGTTCTTAATTTTACATGTCTCAAAAACGATACGAACTATACTACCACAGCAAACAGTTTAGGAGTCTGGAGTCATAGCATGCCATGACATGAGCAATCAGCTGACAGGTGACAGCACACAGGCAGAATTTTGTTGACAAGTGCCATTTTGCAGCGGACAAAACAAGTGCAACTTTTTTGGTTTGTTTCATTTTCTTAAGTCTGGTCTGTGTCAACGTCAAAGAAGTTTTTTAATAATTAAAGGAAGTTTTCAGAAGCATGCAGAAGCTTCCAGACGCATCCAGAAGCTTCCAGAAGCATCAAAAAGAAGCATCTAGAATCTTCTTGAACAGGTTTACACAGGTTCATTTTACTATATAAGAGACATGTAAACCGACATGTAATTCAGTCAGTATTATCAAGACAGTTTATCGAAGTGAGTTTTATCAAAGTGTTTTATCAAAGAACATCAATACAAGAAGAAATACATCAAGTGTTTCATTACATCAATACAGTCCACATCCAACCAAAACGTTGTTTTCCACAGAGCATTATTATATCATCACAAAGTAAATGTAAAACGGTAAGCCTTAAGAAGCGTGATTATTTATTTTTATTATTTTTATGACTTCAAGTGCAAAAATGGCTCCTGACAGTCTTGGATTGGAACTAAGAAAGAAAATAATTAGCAATTACGTAAGTGGAGTGTCACAAAAAAGTATTTGTGATAATGTCGCGTGAAAAAATGGACCATATCAAGACATGTTCCAAATATTGATAACAAAAGTAGAAGACCGTGTTCCACCACTTCTAGAGAGGATTCTATGATCGTCAGATTGTCAAGAAGGATCCCTGGATATCATCAGTGGAGATACAAAAGCAATTAGAGCTGCCTGTATCGGACCGAACAATCAGATGGCGTGCTGTTGAACCCGGATCGTTTTCTCAACGCCCTGCAAAGAAACCGATGATTTCACTAAAGAACTAGAAGAAAAGACTCCTGTTTGCTACATCTCATATTGACTGTTATGTGCAGAAATGGCGAACTGTCCTGTTCAGTGATGAATCGAAGTTCAACATCATTGGGAACGATGGCATTTGCAGTGTATGTCGATCGGCTGTAAATTGCCTCGATTTACGTTACTGCCATAAGACCATGAAGCATGGTGGAGGCAATGTAATGATCTAGGGGTGTTTTTCTGCAAATGGTCTAGGTCCAAATCATCGAATCGATGGAATAATGGACCGTTTTATGTATAACAATATCCTGAAAGATGTTATGTTACCTCATGCTGAATATGGAATATGCCAATAAAATGGGTTTTTTAGCAAGACAACAATCCGAAACACACTGCAAAAGTAATCAAGCAGTGGTTTCAAGACAACCACCTATCGGTGATGGATTGGCCGCCTCAATCTCCAGATCTCAACCCTATTGAGAACCTGTGGGAGATCATCAACCGCAGAATTAATCGTGAAGGTGTTCGTAATAAGGATCAACTGTTTAAACAAATCCAAAAAGGCCTGGGTAGCGATTCCACAAAGTTTCATTGATCACCTGGTTGAGTCTATGCCTCGAAGATGCAAGGCTGTGATCGACAACAAAGGATTCACCACAAAATATTGATAGCGAAATACAGCTTGGTCAACATTTTGTGGAGTTGCACTTGTTTTGTCCAGAAGGAAATCAACTTTTTTTAATACTTTTAATTAATTTATTAATTTTCGTGTACAAATAATGAACTTTGTGATGAATAAAACTTGTAGAACGTTGTCTCAACATAGTTATTTCTTACATAGTTATTTCTCTAAATTGAAAAAATGCAGCATTTTTATATAAAGAAACTAAATTAGCTTTATTTGGTTGCACTTGTTTTGTTCGATACTGTATAATAATGATTTAAAAATTTCTTATCTAACTTGGTGCCAAAAAAAAATCAAAAATGCTGATCCCACATTCTATATATGCAGCATTTAATATGTTTGAAAGAGTTTCATGGTTAATGCTATAGTTTTCTTTATATTCAATGAGAAAAAAGTTTTTCTTACTGAATCAAGCTGTCCAATTGAATTTATCAAACTTCTAGTTTTAGTGTTGTTTTTTTTTAAAAACAAACGTTTGAATATATGGAGCTCTTATGTATTAAATTGACAAGTTGATTACAATTTATTTAGTCTCAATTTCAATACAAAGTTTAAATCTTAAGAAGAGAGTTACTTGATCTTGTAAAGCAGATTCTAGAGGAAGATTAGCTGACATAAAACTTAACATTTTTAGATTGATTACTATCTGTATAATTTAGTATTATTATAATTAGTATAATTGATGATTTCAGAGATTATGATTTTAGAGATGTTTTCAGTATAAATAATGAGCTCCATGGCGTTGTGGCTGTTCAACCATTTGTAAAGATTTTTTAGTCATTTGTGAAGATATAGGAGAGATTATTGCTTTTTTTTTTTCACATACTTGACCTTTGTAAAGTAGTTGGTAAAAGATCCTAATTTAAAATTATCTTTGATGTTGTTCTGATGTGTAACTAATATTAATAAAAGTTATATTAAATGTATTGTAAAATATATTTAAATATTATGTATTAAATATATTTATCTGATAATATTAATACGCTAATTTAATATTATTATTAGTCGAATTACATCATTTTCTAGGCTTTTCTATTTTAAAGTAGTTTCTAGGTTTTTCTATACGCGTTTTTTTTTTTAATTTTATTTACTAACAACGCGTATTACGGGTTGCTTACTGTAAATAATAAATTTTAAAGAGCTTAAGCATTAGAAAAATATAATAATATGAGATTTATTATTCGTATTTTAATAGTGTTGAGTGTTATGACTTGCAGTTAGAACGATGGTACAGTGCTGCTGATATGAACTCTCGTCGGTGTCGTGCAGGTGTTGCTGTTTTAAATGGTGTTATTTATGCTGCTGGTGGTTTTAATGGGGCACTACGCGTTCGTTCAGTAGATTCTTATAATCCTCAAAAGGATGAATGGTGTTCGGTTGCTTCAATGGAGGCACGTAGAAGTACTCTTGGAGTTGCAGTATTGAATGGACTTTTATATGCAGTGGGAGGATTTGATGGAACAACAGGCCTATGCAGTTGTGAGGTAATTGATAAAATGTGAAATCTTTTAAATAGTTTAGTAATAATCTGTGCACCACAGTGACTGCCAGGTCTACATCTAATTTTTTTGTTGTTAAGATATAATATAGTTAAATAAAGTAGGGATATTAAGAAATTTCATAGAAATGTATTAAATTAAAAATTCTTACATAGTTGTTGATGTTTTTATACTTAATAGTAAGTATAGAAACATCAATAAATGTAATAAAACATGTGGAAAACAGATTTATGCAGATAATAATATCCAGACTGAGCTATATAATGTTATATTTTAACAATAATCAACAGCATCTTTCATGCTGATAAAATATTTTATAATCAAATTTATAAATATTGACATAATTGTGTGGGGAAGGTCAAAAATATATTAACTTGAATAATGGCATATTAATTATTTACAAATGTATTATTTATAAACATTAACTGTTTGTTAAATGCTGAAAACTCCACAACACTTGATTTCAATTACTTAGGATATTCTGGCTGGCTTTGTTGTCTTTTATACCTAATTCATGTTTTTTTAAATTCATGATGAACATATTCACCTGCTTGTTCTTAGTAAATTCAAATCCATTATCAGTACTAATACTTTTTAGAAAAGGTACAATATGGTTAACCACAATATATACTTTTCATGGTATAGTTAAAGAAATATTTTCAAAATTGTTATTAACTTATTCTATTTAAGTAGCATAAGACATCCATTACAGCAGATTCAATATCACCATTTATTTTTTTCCCTAAAGGTTTCATGAAATAGGTTTAAATTAATCAATAAAGGTTTCAACCAATGCTTGCTTTATTGGTTGAAACTTACTTAAACGTTTAATTATTAAAAATAAATCTTTTCCTTGATCAGCAAGCAAGCAAAATCAAGCAATTACGAATTTAGTCAGTTAACATTTTTATCATTATATCCACATTAACCTCAAAAAAGTATATAATTTGAGTTTAACCATTGTTCAAAGCCAAGCCAGTTTTAGCTACTTTTAATAACAATTTTCTAAATGTTATAACTATTCCAATCAATGTTTAGAATTCAGGTACTAAATTTTCTATAATTTTGTTTAGGTCCTCTTCAAAATATAAAACTCTTGGATTAGTTATATTTTTATAATCAGCCATAATTGATTTTGGTTTTTTAACTTCTGCATATTCAAAATCAAGTTTTATCAAGTGTTTGTTTTTCTCCATCGTCCACAAGACTCTCTCTTTCACGCCACAAACAACTATATTTCTATCATGACTTGCACCAATTACTGACTTTGAATACTTCAAATCAAATGCAACAGAAGCAAGATTTCCATTGTGTTCAGATCTCTTTCTACAATAGCAACAATAAAACAACATTAAACTCTAGCATGGTCAAGGTTGGTTGCTAGTTTTATCATGCAGATTAAAAATATTCAGAGTGACCTTTAAAAAACCCTGACCAGAATCCACAGCAACTACTACAATTGTAGAAAAATGATCAATATTTCTTTCAATGTTTATAACATGATTAAATTTTTCATTTTTAGCTTCTGAAATTTTTTTTTTTTTACAAATAAAATATTCATTCATTTCGGCTTTCAAAGCCTCTAATTTTTCAAATTTATTTTCTTCAATTCTTCTTCAAAATCAAGACTTTGTCAAATTATAGAAAATATTTTTTTGGTTTGACACTGGGATAGTTCTAAACATTTTATTAGTTCCATAATTGTTCTAGATTAAAACCAATTCAAGCTTTCTTTTTGTCTGTAGTTTTAGCTACAACAGTCAATGGTTTACTGTAAGTAGCAATTGTAAATTTGTCACCTCAAAAAATATTTTCTTTTTCTATTTTTAAGACAACACGTTCTGCATTTGCTGAACTCGATGCATACACTGCGCTAAATTTTTCACAGTTTTTGATTATCCCCACAAAGGTAAATAATGGCTGAATAAATAAAAGGTAAATAATGACTGAATAAATAAAAGGTAAATAATGACTGAATAAATAAAAGGTAAATAATGACTGAATAAATAAAAGGTAAATAATGACTGAATAAATAAAAGGTAAATAATGACTGAATTAACAACTTCACAAAATCTTGAACACCTTCTTATATTTTTCTTTTGATTTAACTCAGAAGTAATACAGGGTATCTGCGAGATCTGGGAAATCAGAGAAACAGGGAAAAGTCAGGGAATTCAGATATCTTCAAAAAAAAACAGGGGATTATCAGGGAAATTAGGTTAATTTTTGGAAAAATCAGGGAGAAATCAGGAAAATGGTTCTTCATCAAACTTAAATAAGTTGTATATGGTACACATAATATAAAAGTTTATTTAGCAAATAGTTTTATGAACTTCTCTTGATACATTTAATGTAGGTTGTGTTATTGTTTATATTTTTGCAGCTGAAGAGCATTTTTCTAAACAAATCTCGGTGTATTCGTGTGATGTAGAGTTTAGGTAACTTTAAATTAAATAAGGGAAAACTAGTAGAAGATCAGGGAAAAGTCAGGGAAATCCACCTTAAAATATTGGCAGACACCTTAAAATATTGGCAGACACTATAATGATCTTCTTTGATCTCCCTAGGGTAAGATTTACCATTATTGCCATATACAACTGTTTTTGTAAGGTCTTTTCAACTATCGAACATTATGCATTTTATGTTCTTTTCCTTTACCACATTGTTATGTCTCTTTTTACAGACCATTACTATTTGCTTTGATCTCTCAATTTTTTAAGATCTAGAGCTAGGTGTTTATTAAGTATACAATCTTTCAAAAAACCTTCATCTTTAGTTTAATGTTGCAGTGCCTATTGATGCAGTTGTTCTGTTACTTATACCAAATCGTAATGCTGACAAACTAATATGATTTACATTTAAAGTATTTAGCTGAGACTTTTTTTATTTCAGGTAAATAAATATTGTCATCATAATCATTCTTAGCATTGTCTGTCTCTACATCATTTTGAGATAATACATCAGAATACTGTACAGTGTCATTCCTAACTCTCTTTGATTTGTTCTGCTTCCTTTAATGATTTTTTTTTTTTTGTCTGGATACTTCTTTTCTATCAACTGTACCTATTTGCATTCCACTTTTAGAACCAACTTTATCCCTTTGTGAATTTAAAAATTTAAGTTCAATAATAGAAATGTTATTTTCCTGAGAACAAGTATAAACAATATGAAAAACTTGGTTGCAGCCATAACAATCGGATTCTTTGCATGATTTTATTGAACATTTACACTTAGCCATGTCAAACAGTTTATCTAAAATTAATTTATGATCAGAAAGTTGTTTAGATGTTCCCCTACCTAATGCCAGGTTATATGCTTTTTTCCAGTCATATATGATTCTTTCCAGTCATATATGATTCTTTCCAGTCATATATGATTCTTTCCAGTCATATATGATTCTTTCCAGTCATATATGATTCTTTCCAGTCATATATGATTCTTTCCAGTCATATATGATTCTTTCCAGTCATATATGATTCTTTCCAGTCATATATGATTCTTTCCAGTCATATATGATTCTTTCCAGTCATATATGATTCTTTCCAGTCATATATGATTCTTTCTAGTCATATATGATTCTTTCCAGTCATATATGATTCTTTCCAGTCATATATGATTCTTTCCAGTCATATATGATTCTTTCCAGTCATATATGATTCTTTCCAGTCATATATGATTCTTTCCAGTCATATATGATTCTTTCCAGTCATTCTTTCTTTTCCTCTTTCTCAGAGATAATGAGAGATAGCTTTAATAAATAATAAATAATGGGTATATATAAAAAAATAAGAATGGGTAAGTGGATTAAGTGAGTTAGCTTTTTGCCATAAATATTTTACTGACATCCACAATTTTTCAGAAGTTAGCCTTAAATTTTGGTTATTTTCTTTAATCCTTCTAAGAAAGAGACTGTCTTAAAATATCTCTTAAAGTTAGTAGTTCTTATTCTAATAACGTTTTTCCTGTACCAATTAGCTTTGTTAATGTACATTTAACTTTATCACGAGTGTTTTGAGCCATTCTTTATAACTGTAAACTTATTTCTATACAATAAATACATGCATTATTATTTCTTCCTTTTAATAACTAATAAAACTGTTACAAGTGGTCCAACTTTGCCTACATAAGCAAAATTTTTGGAAATACGTCATCAATACATTTTTCAAAATTAACTATTACCCATTTCTATGGTAAAATACCATAATAAGTTGCTATAATTTAGGATCATTTTGACATTTTTATGAATGTTAGTAGTTAAATCTGTTAGACTCACAAGTAATACTAGCAGATTTGTGTCTCCAATAATTAGAATTGATTTGTCTCTTGACAAATTGATTGCTGTATTGATAGTTAGTGTATCCACATCTCCTGGTTCCTGTTTAACATAAATTCCGGAATCTGCAAGACGACTAATAAGGCTTCTATAAATCTGCTTTTGTTGTGAGGATTTAAAAGAAAATTTGTCTGGGTTGAATTAACTGTCATGGGTTTGTCAATGATAACATCTGCTGAAACTGCTTTTGACTGGCGTCATCTGTGTTCTTCTGATTTGGTATTAGGCAGACTATTAGAATAGCCATCAAAAGCAACTCAACATTTTTTTCCATTTTGATGTAGCACATATGATACATAACATTTATATATATTGTTATGTGTCACTGGTCTCATCAATTTAATGCAGTGAAAAAGATATTCTTCATCAATTACAAATTTTGAGACAGGTGTTGTTTTTTCACATGGCACCATTGATTCTACTATTGCATCACATAGAACTGTTTTTGAACTTTTTTTGCATTAAAAACAACTCATTAAAAATGCTAGGGGCCTCTGTGCCAACTGGTACCTGAAAAAAGCTGAAATTTTTTTATCTGTTTTGACTGTACATATTATACGGTTGAAGAGCTGCAAAGTATTAATAATTACTTCTTCTTAAATATAAGCACTAAAATAAAACTCAAAAAACTCTACTCGAAGCGATATTTACTTTTTGTTATGTTTTTTTAAAATAAATTAATTCAAAACTTATCTTTTAAAATGTTTTATTAAAGTTAAAAGATTTTTAGAAAGACATGCAAAAATAGTTTCAAACGTTTAAACTTATCATAAAAAATACATGCCTACATAAAAAAAATTTAAATATCACATTATATGTTAATTTACACAAAATGCGTTTATTTTAAACATTCACTATTAAATTTGATTTCAAGCCTTCGTGTAAAATAAAAACTTTAGAAACGATCAACAAATAAAAATTATTCATAACACAACAATTTTTTTTTATAGCATTATTAAAACATCAAAACCGCCGTGGTCAAATTGTAAAGAAAAAAAATTATAAGCGTGGTCAGTTAAAGCATGTGATTGCATGCCATTCCTTTCCAAGCCTTGTTCATGATGATTTATATTGCATTTTAAATTTCATCTAAATAACCACTAGAGAGTATTTAGCATTTTATGTTGCAACAATGATTTTATATGTGTGCGTTTGAAACCTCAAAGGAATTACAGTTAAGAAATAATGACTTATAAGCGTGCTGTGAACTACACATTCTAAGCTGCAAGGGGTATTGATGTTGTAAAATATATAATATAGTTTGTAATTAGTTTTTAGATTTGCAGTCAGTTGGTGAGAAATAAATTAAGTTAAACAAAAAGTGATTTCTTTAGTGCAACAGGGAAACAAGAATAAGTTTCTCACAATTGTAATTAATATGATTGTTTATAAATTTATTTTAGATTTCAGTTGAAAAAAGTAGAATTCATTTGAGAAAAAACTTCACTCATTAGACCTAAGAATTGCTACATTAAATCTTCAACATTAACTTTGATATATATATAACAAATATAATATAATTTATATAACTAATAATTTCTAATCTCAAATGGATATGAACAGAAACTCGCAACGTTGTAAGTTTATTAATAAGCAGTCAATTTTTAGTCTAATTTTTTTTTCTTTTTGGCCACTATCTTAGATTTCATAAATCAATTTTTGTTTTGCTCAAAAATAAAGTGTCAAAAATGAATTTCTTGACCTCAAAAAATAATACAAGCTTTCGAATCATATTTCATCAAGAATCATAAGTCATCTACAAGCTGATATATTACAAATATAATTTTGTAACGTATCAGCTTGTAGATGACCTATGATTCTTTTTTTTATGTTTGTGAGCCATTTTATATTTCAGACAAAGTTCCAGTTCGATTTTGGCTGATTATCATTTCTAGCGATTTTTAGCTTGTTTCTAAATTTTTCTGGGTGACATGACATTTTTTGCTAATTTTACTGAGCTAATATATATACAAACATCATCATGATCATCAGAATCATGATCATCATCATTTTTATTATTATCATTGCTTTAGCCTCCCCCTTTTTCTTTAATAATCTCAATTTTCTTCTTTCCTTAACTAAAGTGTGTTCTTGCCATATGTAAAGTATTCTCTCCAAGCTTTTTTCTACTTTTTCTCCTGAAGCTGCTACCTCTCTACAGCTGATACCCAAATCATCTGCATTTTTATTGCTAAACATACCTTAATCTTTATTGCTCAACTAATATCTTCTTTGACAAACCTTACCTATTTCTATTTTCTGTCTAAGATTATGGTTTCTTTTCTTGACTTGTAAGAGTCATTCCACATATTCATCTGATTATCATCTTCGATCTTGGCAAATATTGCACAATATAAATACTAAAGTTTATTTATATGTGTAAGGCAATTGTATGCCAGCATATAAATCAATTAGTAAACAACCGAGGCTGGTATTTGACCTAAGCCAAAGCCGGTTTTATGGCTAGGGCTGTATAAATATTGATATGATATATAAAAACAAGTCAATATGCACCAATTTTATGCATTCCCGTCCGTTGAACCGGCCTTGGCCACAGTCAAATACCAGCCCCGGTCGTTTACTAAAATCAATAGCAAGCATGTTTGTATCTATCTATCTATCTATATATATATATATATATATATATATATATATATATATATATATATATATATATATATATATATATATATATATATATATATATATATATATATATATATATATATATATATATCCATATTGTGTATGCATAAATGAACCTCTGCAAGAATATTTCTCCTGCAAATAAACATCGTTTTATTATTTTAATAAAGTATAAAAAGGTGCTGCCTGATGCTAAGATACAATATTCTCACTAAATCTTATATTTCATCTCAAATGTTAGGTTTTTAAGACTTTTAGAATATCTTCAACCGTGTCATTAACTAAGTTTAAAGTTTTTATCTCTAATATCTTTAAATTCGTCTGATTTTATTCTACTAAAGGATACAGCAGAGCTATATATAAAGATTTTATTCTACTAAAGGATAACGCAGAGCTATATGTAAAGATTTTTTCCTAAAATCGAATTCCATAACTTTCTACCTGTCATTTCACAACAATGTCGTGAAATGACAGATAGAAAAGAAAAAGAATAAATGATTTATAATAAAGAAACTAATTGTAAAATATCTGTAAAAAACTTTAAAAACAACATTTTTTTATTTCTAAATTGTAAAAATAAAAATTAGTTTAAATAAGAACAAGAAAATAAAATTATATTTTTATTAATTTTATTTAAATGATAGGTGTATGATCCAATAACAAATGAGTGGCGTTTACTAGCTAACATGGGAGTTCGTCGTAGCTCTGTAGGTGTTGGTGTTTTAAATGGTCACATTTACGCAGTTGGGGGTTACGATGGAGCTTCACGTCAGTGTCTTTCTTCTGTTGAAAAATACGACCCAGTGAAAAATGAATGGCAATTTGTACCTGATATGACTGTTCGAAGAAGCGGTCCTGGAGTATGTGTTTTAGGTAAAGTGTAAATTTAATAACTTTTATATTGAAATGAACTTTATTTGTATATAAGAAATATATAGAGTAAATAATTAATATAAAGAATATAATTAATATAAAGAATATAATTAATATAAAGAATATAATCGATATAAAGAATATAATTAATATAAAGCATATAATTAATATAAAGAATATAATTAATATAAAGAATATAATTAATATAAAGAGTATTAGTAAAAAAAAATGTTTAACAGAGTATAAATTGTTTCATTTTTACTTTCATACAGGATTATCATACAAGGTTCAAAATAGTTTAATAGTTTTCAAAATAGGTTCATACAGGATTATCATGCAGTTTAATAGCACTCAAGCTTAAGAAGCAACCAGGGTTAAAATTTAACGGGGTTGGGGCGGTTCTGATAAATATAGCCGGGGCCGGGTTTGTGACCAGGGCTGAATAAACATTTATACGGGAAAAGATTACTAAATCTGTCCAACAACATCCGTGAAGTAGTGAAATAACATCCGCACATTTTTGTCCAAGATCATCTGCTTTTTTTCTTTACTGAATTAACATCTGTCCAACAACATTCAAAATTTCATTGATGCCTAATAACATTTTCAGAAAGATGTAACTACATCCGGGAGTTTTTCTCGATGTGTAACTACATCCACCTAAAATAATGCATTATTAAATAAAATAAATTTCCTGACGTAGTTAGTATCTGAAAAAAATCAGATGTGTAACTACATCTGGTTAAAATAATGCATTATTAAAAAAAAAATTCCGTAACTAATGTAAAAAAAATTCCGTAACTAATGTAGTTACATATATAACTTACATATATAATTATTATATTGTATAAGTGCTGCTACATCGACTGACAAATAGCCTGACTAGCAACGGAATGCTGCTACATCGACTGAGGGTTTGGTTTGGACAGGCAGTCTATCAAACAATTAAAAAAAAAAAATTATTATGCTTAAAAGAATGCATTATAATAATTTTTTTTTTGGTGGATGTAGTTACATCCGAAAAAAATCAGATATGTAACTACATCTGGCTAAAATAATGCATTATTAAAAAATATTTTTTTTCGGATGTAGTTACATCCGAAAAATTTACAGATGCAGTTACACGGATGTTATTATACATCAATGAAATTTCGGATGTCGTTAGATAGATGTTGTTATACATCAATGAAATTTGGGATATTGTTGCACGGATGTTATTATATATCGATAAAATTTCGGATGTTGTTATCCATTCACTCAGTGTTCATTCAGGCATGTATTTAACTTAATCTCTTTCAGTTACTTTACTCTGACAAATTCATTCTATTTTAATATCATACCAATTTAGTTGTTGAGCTAAAATTAAAAAGAGTTGTTCAGATCTAATTTTTTTATTAATTTTATAGAGAATTTTTCGGAAAAAAAGTTTTTTTTGTATAAAAGTAAAATACTATTTACTATGAATGGTTAAAAAAATAACTTTTTACTTTTTTTTGTAATCAGTTGTTTCATTCGACAACCAAATATCTAAATGGTATAGATATTTTTCTTAAAATTTTTTTTTTTAAATATATATTTATTTATTAGGCGGGTTTTTGTATGCTGTTGGCGGGCATGATGGTCCTCACGTTCGCAAGTCAGTTGAGTATTATAATCCAGATGCTCAAAAATGGGTCACTGTATCTGACATGTCGTTGGCAAGACGTAACGCTGGTGTTGCTGCAGTTGACGGTTTTTTGTATGTTGTTGGGGGCGATGATGGTACGATAAATCTATCTTCAATAGAAATGTATTGCTCTGAAACTGACCAGTGGTCACTTCTCCCTTCCCAGATGAGCGTGGGTAGAAGCTACGCTGGAGTTGTTATTATTGATAAATCTCTTCATTTTATGTGATTTTATGTTGGTAATCACCTGATTTTCTATACCTAATTGTATCAAGGAAGAAAAGTGTTGATTATGATTTATATTATCATAATATGACGGTGTATATCAAATGCGAAAGTCACTAAAAAACGGTTTTGAGAAAAATTCTTTTGATCAGTCATTTCAAATGCTTATTTTAAAGAGTTTGAGCAAAGTAGATTTTCTAAAAACATTTATTTTGTGACTAAAGTACTTTTGCACCGAGCCCTTAAAATTTATTTTCAAATGTATTGAAAGTATTTTTTGAAAAATAAAGGTTGATGGTGAATATCTAAAAAATTTGAGTAAATTTTTTGAAAATATAAAACGCAATATATATAAAGAAAAGATTGTGGAAACAGAAACATAAAATAACAACTCATTTAGAAGAACCTGTCATGATCTTTATCGAAGTTATTGAAAAAATAATTTTTTCTACTACTAATTTTTTAATACTGTTTTTTAATTTATGCTTCATGTAAGCTGTTAAAAAAAAAAATATTTTAGTTTATTGTGTTTTTTATTACTACTTTTTCATTTTTTTATTTTCGTGGTATAATTATAACCCTTTTTAAAGATTTTATTAAATTTTTTTCCTTTAGAACCCACAGTGATTTAGAAACACTTGAAATTTGGCCAAAATATATAATAGTTTTTAAAATAATAGTTTTTTGAGTAGCAAAATTTAAACAATGTTATTAGCTAACTATTTTCCACAGTTTCTTATAATTTTAACGGTATAAAAAACTAAGTACTGAAATAATTTAATCGTTAATTTTTGTTTGAAACCGAAAACAACTCTTTTTTATCATTAAAATTTTATCGTTATTAAAACTTAATTTTCTCCCTAAATACAAAACCTTTCATTTTAATTTTCATTATATGCAAAGATAATAGATAATTTTATCTTAATTTATAAAAAAATTTAAATATGTATTTATACATCTTATAAAAAATACATTTAAAAAGTGCAATTTTTGTAAGTATAAACTGATTTTTATAGTGCTAGGACTTTTTACCTTAGACTTCTTTCGCGAAGCCAATTCTTTTTTTAAAGAGAGTTTGTATCATTCTGTTAGAAACTCAAAAAGTTAGCTGCCCCAACTTGCCCCGTTTCTAAAAACGCTCACTTAATTTAGGCTAGCAAAAAAAGTGAGCAATAGCGCATATAAATATGCTATAGTATATATATATATATATATATATATATATATATATATATATATATATATATATATATATATATATATATATATATATATATATATATATATATATATATAGAGAGAGAGAGAGAGAGAGAGAGAGATCTTTTAGGATAATGCATGCTGCATCCTAAAAGCCAGTGCTTTTTACAAATACCCATATTATTAGTTAGATTTTAAATTTCATTTGGTAAAGCAGCTAACCATCTTAAAAATAACTCTTAATCACTTTTTAATTTGTAAATTTTGACACGTTCCTCGGTACAATCATAGTTTCCACGACATTTTCTCATTGAACATTTTCTAGGCATGTCTCAAATTATTTTACAAATTTACTTTTGCTAACATACTTACTTAAATTTATTTCATTTTACTAAACTATATAGAATGCAAAAATTAAAAATAAATGTTATTCTATATATTAATATAAAAATGTATTATGTATAATTTTATACACACGGAAAAAAACACATACTGTAACCTTTTAGTCCTTGTGTTACAAGGTAAAACTAATATTAAATGTATTGAAGTACTTCACGTCCCGGAGGTAATCCACTCCTGTAGAGTGGTAGTCCTCCTACGAAAGATTTAAATTGGTGTACACAATGCAAATCAACAATCAATATAAGTGCAATCGAGGAAAAATCTATTGAAGATATTATCAACGAGGCCCTAGAGCAGGCTAAAATAGGAATAACTATCAATAACGATGCATTTGACAAAAACTACAAAAGTAAAGTTGTTGTCATGATCAAAATTACGTTAATGGCGGTTAAAACCCAAATCAAACATCAGCATGACTAAAGAGATCAATGATCTTCAAGACAAAATCAATGGAGTAAACAGCAAATCAACAACAGCAGCTAATCAGTTTTATCTTGATATAGCAAAGCGCAACACTTATGTTAACCTTGCAGCAACGGAAATAAAAACTAGAAAAGAGAGGGAGTCAAATATAGTAGTCGTTGGTCTTAAAGAGTCTGAAAATAGAAGCGATGAAGATCTTGTAAATAAGTTTTTTAAAGCAATTGAATGTGGAAATTGTTCACGTTCGTCGTTACAAAAGAAAAAACAAACAACCTAGCAATCTCAAGAATATGAACCAGGATAAGCAAGATCCAATTGGTTTAATATAAGTTGTGTTCAAATCGATAGAGGCACAACGAGACGCCCTAGCCAAAGGCAACTTCCACAAATAAGAAGTGTCACTGAGACCTGGTTTGGTCAAATGTCAGACACTCAACTGCCCGGTTGACCAACTCCATAACAAAAACCTAGGAAGCAGAAAAGGGAGTGTAGCAATCTACATAAAATGTGATATCCCAGCAAATGAAACAAAAGTAAATCAACTTAACTCGACAGATATCGAACAACTATGCAGAGTGATAAGGATAGACGATAAATCTTAATAGGCTGTATATACCGACCAAACAATAGTGATATTGGAGTTCTAGAGAAAGTCATCAAATCAATTGATTCAGCAAAGCAGAGCTTGTCAATACTTGGCTGTTTGTTTGTCCTAACTTACGGTGATTTCAACTTTAGCCATATAACAATATGAGGTACTTGAAACTGATGGAAACGCAGCAGCAGTTGCACATATACAAAACGAACATGCAACGGACATGAAATTCCAGCAATGTCTAAACGAAAACTTTCTTATGCAAATGCTCACTTTCCACACTCACCGCAGAAATAGAAAAGAAAGACCATCAAGCACGCTAGATTTATTAATCACTGATGAACCTGACCGCATAGATAATCTACATGAAGGCAACTCATTTGGTTACACACCAGCTGGGGAAGCCCACTGCCTACTTATTGTCTCATTTGCTATAAACAACGCTTGTGTTAAAAAATAACAAAAAAGATTTATCTGGAGCAAGGCTAATTATAAAGCAATCTCAACGCTAATTACGTCATATGACTGGGTGACAGTTTTCGATTCCCATTCAGTAAATGACAATTATAAAATGTTCGTTGAAAAAATTAATAAGGCAATCACCCTTTACATACCTTCAACTAAAACATCGTTCAAGCAACAAAAACAACCATGGAATACGCCACAAGTTGAAAAAGCAGTTGAAAAGAAAAGAACCCTTTGGCGCAAATATCTTGCAGCTGGTCGATTGATTCACATAGATATTCAAGAAGAGCATAAGGAAAGATTGTGCTTGCAAAGATTGTAAGATCAGTAATTGTTAAATTTAAAAATGAAATTGCAAACTCTTTTAAAATTGATCCAAAATGGCTTTATAACCTAGTCAAGCAGAAGCAAATAGTGAACAAAATGATGAAGTCACTTGAAGACAACGATGGAAATCTTACAACTAATAGTCATAAAATTTCTCATTTACTTAACGTATATTTTTAGTCTGTATTTGTTACATCAGATGCCAACATTTCAGAATCGAACAGAAACGGAATGTGTACTAAATGAAGCAGAATTAACAACTATATCTGTTCAGAAAAAACTAGAAGAGCTCATTGAAAAGTCAAAAGGCTGCTATAACATACACCCGCGTGTCCCTACTTTTTGGAAGTTATCAAACGTTACTCCTATTTTTATAAATGGAAGCCGTAGAAAATGCTTAAACTACAGACCAGTTTCTCTAACATCGGTACCCTGTAAGATAATGGAAAGTTTTATACACAAAAGAATCCTGAAACATTGCCTTGAAAAAGGGCTCTTTACAAAATCTCAACATGGATTTCTTCCAAGACACGACTGTACAACCAACCTACTAGAAGTAGAGGACATTTTAACAAAAGCACTATTTCATAATCATGCCATAAATGTGATTCACGCAGACTTTGCTAAATCTTTTGATAAAGTACCTCACCAACGCCTTCTTTTAAAACTTGATGCATACGGCATACACTAAACACTCCTGGAGTGGATAACTAACTGGTTAAAAAATCGAAAACAGAGAGATGTCATCAGCAATAGCAAGTCTGAATGGGTAGATGTTACTAGCGGTGTTCCACAAGATTCAGTGTTAGGTCCACTTTTGTTTTTGATTTATATAAACAACCTTCCAGACAACATGGTGCATCGTATAAAGATCTACGCAGATGATTGTTATATTTTAGGGGTGATCAAATCAGAATATAATGCAATAAAACTTCAACAAGACATAGATCATGCAGTCGAATGGTCTAAAAAGTGGCTCATGTATTTCAATTTAGACAAATGTAAAGTCATGCATGTTGGTCACTCAAATAAATCAGTACACCTTTATTCAATGCTTAACATATATGATAATCAAATAGAAGTTGGAACAACAATTATTGAACGTGACTTAGGTGTTCTAACATCAAACGACCTGAAAGTAAAACATCAAGTAGAAGCTGTAGCAGCTAGAGCAAACCAAGTACTAGGCAAACTAAAAAAATTTTCGCACAAGAGGGCTTATGTTATGGAGGGTACTCTACACAACATGATACTCATTTTCAATTCTTATGTTATGGAGGGTACTTTACACTACATGATAACTCATTTTCAATTCTCCATATTAATATTAGGAGTATTCAAAAAAACTTCGAATCATTAAAACAGTTTTTATATAAAATCAAAATTAGTTTTAACATTATTTGCCTTAGCGAAACATGGTGTCATGATAAAAATATTGAAAACGATTCAAATTTCCAAATACCTTATTACAATCTGGTTCACCAAGTTAGAGGTTGGGGGAAGGAAGGTGGGGGTTTATGTATATTTATTATTAATTCATTATTATACAAATTAATGCAAAACTTAAGCTCAACCACTAATGACTATGAATCGTTATGCGTAGAAATCATTAGCGAAACCTCAAGAAACATGCGTTATATAGACCGCCTACAGGAAAAATTAATGCGTTCAAAAATCACATTAAAAGTATAATTAAAAATGAATCAAGTTGTAATAAAAGTGTGTATTTTATTGGTGACATTAACATCAACATTTTTGACTATGATGTTAATAAGCACATTAATAATTTCTTTAATGTCATTTTTCAATCTGGTTACATTCCATTAATAAATAAACCCACGCGTGTAACTATGTATAGTGCAACATCAATAGATCAAATTTTTACAAATGAATTTTTTACAACAAAAATAAAAACTGGAATATTTAAAACGGATATTTTGGACCTTTTTCCAATTTTTATTATATCAAATAAATGCGATAAGTCTTATTCTCAAAAAAGGAAAGTAACAAAACGACTAATTAACGATACCTCCAGTAAATCTTTTCATGATGTTATATCATTCGAAAAATGGGACAAAACTCTAATAAATTTAAATGCTGATGAGGCCTATG